AATAAACAATTTCACATATACAATAAAATCATAGGGCTAGAGCCATAAAGATCACAAAGTTTGGCGTTCCAAAACCTCTCAAGGAACTGGATAACAAGGACACACAAAGTAAGGTTCCAAAACATCTCATGGAACCATATAGAAACTATGCATAGGGTTCCTGAACCTCTCAAGATACCGGAGTAAAATTCCAGAACCGTTCATGGAATCTGACATGATATAAGGTTCTAGAACCCTTCATGAAACCAAACAGAAGTAGTGTTCTAGAATCACTCATGGAAACTAGTGACAATCAAGCAGGATTCCAGAACCATTCATGGAATTAGAAAGAAAGGTAACAAACTAGGGATTTAATATCCACACATGAAATGAGAAAGAAAGTACACTAGGTATCTATCATTTCACAAAGCAGATCGATGATTGGGTAATAACATTTGTAAGTCCATGTTATACGCCCAGAGTATATAACGAGGGAATTTCATATGCAAAATACTCCTCACATAATAATAAAGTCAACTCATTTGGAGCTTAACGCACTTCAAGAATCAATACAATTGAATCGTCACGCAAAACCATGTGCACGTCATTGAACGTTATGTGTCCTTGATGGGCCAACAATGCTCCTATAGAACCTAATACGTACATAACTCTCCACTAGGCAAACTTATGAAACTGACACGCACAACGAGGAACAGTGCTACTTGCATGTAAATTGAGATACACTAACACGTCATCATGATGAGCCAACTAAGCTCAATTGAGCCTCAACAACTTTTGATTCTAGTTTCAAGACGATCTAACCGTCGGATTGCCATCAATTACGAAAATCATACGGCGGTATAATTATCCCAAAAATCAAATAATCGAATTATCCTATCAAATTTCAACAAACAGACCTTGGTTATGAGCTCAGGACATCGAGAATGTCTCAATGTCCAAAATTCATGTTTTCATATTTTTCCACATGCGCCACCGCACGCGGTGGTTTTTGGCAAACAGAAACCCAGTTTTCTGACCACCTCCAAATAACACCAATTTTACAGGAATATAAAGCTTAATAAGAGGAACTTTTATACTTATGGCAAAGTCTAAAAATGGACGTAAGACGATCGATTTCACAAGTAAAGGCGGAGGGTGCATAAAACTTCACAACATCGATTCATCGCCTATGGTGGTCTAACAATGTCGGGGTTGGTCGGGTTTTCCTCTTGGGATGAAGGGCTACAAAGCCCAGGTGATAGCGTCAGTCACCGTTTTACAGATTCGTTGAAATATGGGTAAAGGTCGTCGAAACCAGTAGGTTTTCATCGATTTTTGTGGCCTCACACCGCCACGTATGGTGGTTAAACAGATGGTTCTTGGATGAATTTTGTAGAGTGAATTATGAGCTTCAAGATAGTGGTGGTGGCATAGTCTAATTTTTCATGAGTTGGCCAGAATTCGCATTTGAAACGACTTAAGAAACGGGTCGGTGCTATCGATTAGGTCGTGATTGGGGTTCTAGTGCTGCTGGGTCAGGTTTCTAAAAACGGAAGCCGTTTAATTTTGGTAGATCCTCTTATAAAAACTTATTATTATAATAAGCCTAAATTACCAAATTGCCCTACACTTAAAGCTAGTGTTTAAAACACCGTTACCTGTGGAAATATCGATATGCAAATTTGTGGAAATATTGACGAATATATCAAATATCGATATTGATATCGGTTGCTTTCAATGGAAATGATGAAAATTTAAAATGAAACTTTGGGGATTGTCAAACATTGGTTTGGAAGAAATATAAGAGTTTCTCCAATATTTAACAGATGTGTAAAAAATATCGACGATATCTGTCGATTTTGGTCTAAACTTAAAAGTTTCTCCAATATGAGGTGAAGTTTAGACTTCACCTCCAATTTCCATATCATTCTCTAATATTTTGGATATTTCCATGGAAAGATAGACCGTATCCAAGAAATTTTAAACACTGCTTAAAACTTCTTTGTTTCAAGTCTGACTTGTGAACGGTTTTTCTCTAAATGCTCATGGGATCGAACTCTATCCATCTATTCTAAATCCACCTCCAAATGCCAAAGCAAAAGTTAAAATGACTAAAATACCCTTGAAATCGTTTTTCTCAAAATTTTAAATAAATAAATAAATTATGGGATGAGATGGTATATCATAGTTGCATTGTTTAGAAGTGAATAATTAGTTAGTTGCTTAAGTGGCATTTCATTCAGTTTGAACAATAATAGTGGTTGTTGATGCACAAAATCAGTGAGGACTTTGGTACAACAGAAAATGTTAAGTTTGTGACCTTCGCTAGATTGCTCCGGTCACTAGTGTGGATAAGTATGTAAATGGATAAAGACAGGGAAGCAAACACAAGATGTACATGGTTCACCCAGATTGGCTACGTCCACGGAGTAGAGGAATTCTCATTAATTGTGAAGGGTTTACACAAGTACATAGGTTCAAGCTCTCCTTTAGTGAGTACAAGTGAATGATTTAGTACAAATGACATTCGGAAATATTGTGAGAGAATGATTTCTATTTATAGAAGAGAGTTTCTAGTTTCATTCTGACATTGACACGTGTCGTGTTGTGATTGGCTTCTGATGTTGACACGTGTCGCGCTATGATTGACTTCTGATGTCGACACGTGTCGCGCTGTGATTGGCCTCCTGGTTGGAGGGAAACTCTTATGCGTCATTGACGGTATAACGTTGATCGGTGCTCAGTAGTTTCGAGATTGGTCAAGTATGATACAAATAGTGGTAAATTAGAGTATTTTACAAAATATTCTAGAAACAATAGATTCTATTTAGGTTTCATTCCATTAGAAGTTGGCTTATTTTATTAACACCCCACGTATTGTTGATTAAACTTCTCATACTTAATACACCTCACATTTACGTTTTTAATTAAAAATTATCTTAATACACTCAACATACTTTCTCATAATACCCTTACACCCCACATTCTCATACACCTAATATTTTCCATATACACCCCACATTTTCTATACATCCCATATTCTTCAAATCTTATAATACTCATTTTCAATTTTATAAATTAAATTGACGTAGGATTAAAACCCTAACATTCTCTAAAAAGAGAAGTCTACAATCCGGTTTGTTGAGCTTGAATTTCATTGGGTCATGGCATCCAATCTCCTTTTCTCTGTCTCTTTAAGCCTTTTGCTAACAAAAAAAGGATTTCTGCTAAAAAATGGCAATTGAGAAGAACCTAACAGATCAAAAGTAAGCCCCAGAAGATGAATAAGAACGGAAAAGGAGTTGTTGGGTAGTATGGAAAGCAAAAACAGGCTTAAATAATTACCGATGTCATTGAATACTTAAAACAATGACAAATATGAAATTTTACCTCATGTGAAAATTCTGAAATATTGATATCGTGTTCCATTCATTAATTTTTTTTCTCAATCATCGTGTTTATAGTTTCAATAGTTAAAATTTTATTCAACAATGGAGTGGAGGGTGAGAGGGGTTTTGATAGTTGAAGAAGATAAATAATATGTTAAAAGTAACTTGGGGTGTATTTAATTTTTTTTTATTTTCTTTAAACCTCATAAGGTCGAAATTGTCATTGCATAGTAGGTTACATAAGCCACTTAATATTAAATTTTAATATGGAATGTATTCAACATTATGTGGGGTGCTAATAAAAAAAGTCTTAGAAGTTTATTTATCTGCACCAATATCATTCTCAATGCTGTGGTGGTTTCTCGTCCCATGTATTGTCCCTGACCGAAAATGAGTTAACTTTATACGTTAGTTTATGATAGTGAACAAACAACACTCCATGTAAATAAAGGAAAGAAAATTGGTTTGTTGTTATTTTATGGTCAATTATTTAATTTTGGTCACCTAACTATTACACATCAACGCATCTAACTAACGATCTTAAGAAGTTGATGAAATATACTCATGCCTGTCGCCTACTGCTCAACTATTTACAGAAACTCGTACGCTCGTGTGTGTGGCTGGCTGTGTTTCCCCTTTTTATTTTATATATATATATATATATATATATATATATTCATTTTTCGTTGAGCTTATTTGAGAGATTTCTGGTAGAGTCCAAACTCTAATGTATTTTAAAGATTTAATTGTCTATGATTAAGGTTTTCTTTCAAAAGAATATCTACCACAAATTACTCAAATCTGAAATCATATGACCATTTAATTTAATAGTCATTTTAGTGTTTTTTAGGAGAACCATATTCGTGTATTTTATTCATTGTAATTGGATGTTTTAATGCTTTTATATTTGTCTAATATTTTGCAAAATCAATTGATAAATGATGAATTAAAATATAGACAGTTCAATTATATAAAATGAACATTATACTTGTTTCAGGCCCCATTAGGCTATAATATTGTGTAGTCTAGCGTTAGTCTGCATTCTGCACCATTAACAGTCGTGGCAGGAGTACTACATTTCCGTGCACCACTATAAGTTGCATTGATATTTAAATGATCCAATAAAGCGCGACATGACAAACAAATATATATGAATTATGAAGATGATGTAAAGTATGGAATTGGAGTCGACGATGTATCAACTAGAAAATAAATAAATAAATTGCGTTCATAATCCACTAAAGCGAGACATGATAAATTAAGCGAACGAAAAATTAACAGTTAAGATTGTGACGTATTCATGATTATCATTCATTTTTTCATTGAAAATATTTCTATTAGGGTTCACTCTTTGAAATTTCTGCTTGTCGCCATATTATTAGGATTTATACAATTGATCTTAATAAGTACAGAAAATTCTTAGTAGAATTGTAGAACATGGATTCTTTTTATTTATAGAATGCTGACGAATTAAATAATAATCTCATGAACTATCTTATATAGTATTTGATATGATGATGCCTTCAAACACAATGATGTAAATAAATCTCTGAAATTTAGCACATAGACTTCTATAACTCTTGATAGATTAATTTGCTATTTCCAATATTGCTGATATTTTGTGGTTCTTAGGTGAGGCTAATCAAGGAGGAATTTGGATATGATGATGCTTTTAACTACCACACAGACACAGATTTTGATGCTGCTTTAAGCAAGTAATTAAATTAATACTATCATTTAGTAAAATTAGGATTATGATGATTTTGACGAAGTGTACATGAAGACTCATGTGAAGGGTTTCCTTATAATTTGCAGGTATTTCCCTAATGGAATCGATGTCTACCTTGACAATGTTGGCGGTGAAATGCTTGAGGCTGCTCTCAACCATGTCAACAAGCATGCCAAGGTCCCTCTTTGTGGCATGATATCTGGCTACAATAAGGTAATTAATACCATTACTACCCTTTATCTATTTAATTATTATGATAAAATTTTAATGTTTTTCTTATAACAAAGTGTTAGTCAATTTCTTTGAACTCAATTAGATGTCTCAAATATTTCTGATTTGGCTAATATTTTGTAAGGATGATCTATGAGGTGCAACTTGAAAAATAGAAAGTTTGGATTGTTAAAGTTCGATGTGGTGTGAGTCTCACAGCTAATCCCCATTTTTATAATAAAAAAAGGGGAAAAAAAAGAGAATCTCTTTATCTCCATTAAGATACATATACTTTAATTGTGTGTGAGGATGACCCAATTGCACATGCATAAAAAGACGTTATTGGAAATTTATGGATCTAGATACGTACACATGTTCGTCCGTTTCTCAACTGCAAAGCTCATCTCTATTTTGTGCAGGTTTGGACTGAGAGAGAGGGGGTGAGGAATCTGTTGAATTTAATCGGAAAGGAGGTGAATATGCAAGGGTTCATGGTGGGTTCATACCTGCATCGTCTTGGAGATTTTGCAACCGAGATGGAGAGCCACCTAAAGCAAGGCAAGATTGGTTATTCTAAGCTCAAAATCTTCCATGGAATTGAGACATTCTTGGAAAGTTTGGGGTCCCTCTTCACCAGCTCTAATGTTGGAAAAGTTGTAATCCAAGTCAAGTGATTTTATTGGGTTGAAGTAAATCTATGTTAAGGCATTAATGCTTCATGAAAACGATCTAAATAGGACATGGTTTTTGGTTTGGGAAATTGAAGTCTCCAGAATTGGCAACTTCTTAAGAATTTAAAAGCGTTTGTACTAATTTGTTTCAATAAAATTATTTGCACACAAAATTAACATATTTATTGACACATTTTCTAATATAGGTGGACTCTACCATTATGTATAGGTTATTGCTATCCACATGCCTATTTTTATTTCTTACACACTCCTCTTAATTTTTTACCATCGAATCGAATAAATTAAAGAAGATTAACGGGTCAAAAATTAATAAGAGTGTGTCAGAGACAAAAATGGATGTGTGAATAACATTATCCTATATAACCACCACGGGTAGCCTAGTGGTTGAGTACGAATTCCAGACCTGTATTCCACACAGTACGTGCTATGTTTGATTCCTGGTGTTAGTGAATCGCATGATAGTGGTCAAGGGAATGATGAAATGTCTTCGAAAGTCTTTGACCTTTAGAATGATGGATTGCCATTACGAAACCACCAACTAATCCCCTTGTCAATAAAAACAAATAACACTATCCTGCATGTATTTGGATCCCACCGTATTAATGAGAACAAACAAATATGTCCAAATAGCATTACCCATTTTATTGAGGTATCCTTAACATTACTAAACTGACCAAAGCAGACTTATATATATTTAAGGGTAAATTATATTTTACTATCTTAGGTTTAGGTGCATCTACAACCTCATACAATATTTTTAAAATATTTCAATTTCATACACAAACTTATATTTACTTGTAATTTTATACATCCATTAGTCAAATTGTCAATTTGACCATTAAGTGATGACGTGACATATGTATAGCTCACATATTTTGATGATGTGGCATATAAAAATATTTAAATATATATAAAAAACAATTTAAATAAAAATGTAAATGAATACAATGGCAAAATGGCCCACCCTCTCTTATCCCACGTAACTCAGCAAAGGGCCTCCATCTCCATCTCCTCCTTTCTCCATCACCACCACCCATCCCATACAACCACCGTGTCAATCCTGCTCCTCACAATCAGTAAACCCCCTTCTCTAATTTTTCCAATTTCGTCTGATTCTTCTTCTTCCCTAAATCTCCACCAAAAATTAAAACTAAATATTTTCAATTGACACCTGCAATCAAAATATTCAAATTTTCCTTAAAAACTCGTCTTAAGAAGAAAAACTTGCGTGGAATTTGGCTTGTCACTAGACAATGTTTAGTAGCACTACCATCCACTCAAAACAGTAGTAAGCATTATCTATAATATTTATTATAATTTTATATGTAACTTTTTCATAATAGAATTTTCTACTGAATCATTACACCTCCCTTTGTTTTTTCTCAATTCCTCCTCTCCTCTTTCTTGTCAGATTTTCTTCCCAGTCACGTATTGTCTCCTCTTCCCCTTGCTTTTCTTTGAAAAATCTGGAAAAAAATAAGAGCGCAGTTTCTCAAACTTTTCATATCATGGAAACTAGAAATCAACTAATTTTGCCTGTTTTTTTTTTTCAATTTAGTAGCTGGTTTTATCATATGAACTTGACTTGATTAATACACGAATATCTAATGTCCAGCAAAGATGATACAAATTGAATCAACCATTTTCAAATGAAAATTTCCTCATAATTTGTTGTACAGAAATTTCAAACTCCATAAGAAGAGAAGGATGCTTACATGATTCTATTGGTTCATTCAAAATGTATGTAGGCGATGATTTTTTTAGGGTGATTGATTTTCTAATTCACAACACGATTGATGGTTTCTTTGGTTCTAAAGTGAATTCTTTTTGTTTTCTTCCTATTGGTGCATATATTTCTGAGGAAATGCAAGAAAATGAGTGGGACAAGCTGAGAAGGATAGTAGAGCCACTCAGCATTGACTAGTTGCAAGTCAAGTCCCACACAAGTTTTTCTCCTTAAAAGGTTCAATTATCAACTTCGTTTTGTTGAATATAATAAATATATTGCCTAATCATTTTTTTGTCTAATTAAAGATATTATTAAATATATTAGAAGTTAGGTACTTGCATTATACATATTGTTTGTACCATACTTAGGGCCTTCGTATTTAGATCTCATATAAATACTCGGAGGACTCAAATGTAATTATGTAATAAAGTAAGGGGCAAATATGTAATAAGTGAGGAGCCCTTATTCTATAAAAAGGACTCCTCACCCTCATAATGGGAGAGGCCAATCCTTAAGCCTTCTCATCCCCTCAAACCTCTCAGATGGAGAAGAGCTCTCTCTCCCTCTTTAACATCTCAGAGAAATACAATATTAGTGTGGACGTAGCCCAAACATTAGGGTGAACCACGATACATCTTGTGTTATTTACTTTCTTGCAGATTCACGGTCGGATTTACGTTGTTCCAAGACCCCTCCGGTTTTGTGCATCAACATTTGGCGCCGTTTGTGGGAAACGATACTAAAAGTTGTGTCAGTTATCTTTCATTTTTTCACCTTCACCATGAATCTGCAAAAACCCAACAACCCAAAGCTTTCCCAGAAAACCCACGAAGCCACCACATCTCTCACTCCCACTCCAATCATTTCTCTTCAATTTTAAGCAGAACCCATTTCAGATTTCAGAAAACCCATTTGAAAGTTCAAAAAATTTACTCAAATCCCTTGAAGAATAAGGAAGAGAAATAGAAAGAAACATAAATCATGCATAGGTGCAGTGGTGGCTCTCCACGTGGTCGGCGGTCCATGCTTATGCGGTGTCCTTCACCTCTTCGAGGCCGGGCGATTCCATTGATCCCATGCTCGAATTAGGTCCTAGGGTTCCTGATTGGGTTTATTCGGTTAACAATGGCGACACCCATTTCCACAAAAGGAGCTATTCGGCCAGCGATGCTTGTATTGGGTCGGAGGACCCTGCTTTGGGAGTTGGGTTCAAGCAGTGTCTTTACTTTGCTAGAGGGTTTTGCAAGAATGGAAGCAATTACAAGTTTGTGCATTGCGATTTTGCTGATTCCCTAGACGCTCCTGGTGCTATTGTGGGGTTTCCCAGTAATCTCGATGGTTTCGAACAGCATGAGGAGATGTTGCGGTTGAAAGCCCAGCAACAGAGATTGGCTGCTGCCTCTCAGCTCATGGTTGGAGCGTCGCCTTCTTCGTACAACAAGTACATGAATTTCCTATTGCAACAACAGAATGACCCTTAGAGCAGAGGCCATGTCGAAGCGTGTTGAGCTCCAGTATCTGCCCAACATTATACTCCCGTTCCGTCTCATGCTCCTGGCCCGTCTCCTAACCCTACAATGGGTGCTAATCCAGCGGAGCTACAACGATTCCCACGCGTAGTGAAAACCGATAGATCTCTCAGCTTTTTGGTTCTGGGAGTTTGGTCTCCAAGGCGGTGGAGGCCACGGTGTTCGTCGACACCAGCCTCGGCACCCACCTCGCCGTCGCCGTCGACCCCAACGCCACCGTTTTCGCACTAAAAAAAAAACTCATGTGAACTCCCCCGTCTCACTGCCGACCTCTAGGACACCGCCTGCACGGGGGCACCCTCTTCTTGTTCATGGCCCGTCATCTTCATTCACGCCATTAGCTGCAGCGCCAAAAGTAACAGAAAAGAATGTCTCTTTTTTCCTTTACAGAAAAGAATGTCTTCAAAGCACCAAAAAAGCTCTCTCTTTTCTTTCACAGATTCCCCAAAGTCTCTTTTCCTTTACAGAAAAGAAAAAGGGGGAGTGAGAATGGATGGACACGACCAGGCTATCAAAGAAAAACAAGTGGGTTTGCAAGCAAAAGATACCTTACAAAGCAACATGGGTGGACATAGAAGGAGCAGGGAGATCAAGAAAAGCAGAAAGCAAAAGAAAATAAAAAAAGCAGACATAATTGCGGTGGTGATGGCATGCAGAAAAGGGAATTATGGGCGTGACCCATTAAGCAGAGGATCAGATTTATTTTTGAATGATGTAATTTATTTTCCTTATCTTTCGGAGACATTTGTATAAACCCCATTAGAAGGTAATCAAAAAACAAAACAAAACAAAAAAAAAAAGAAAAAAAAGGCAAGCCCAAAATAATGGGCTGCAATGTCATATGGAGGGTGAAGGCCCGTATGACCAAAAGAGCCAGGCCCTCTGGCTCCAAATTTATTCGGCACCATGCCGCTATTATCACCATCCAGGTGATCAAAAGTACGCCCAGTACTTCCAAAATTATTCGGCACCCTGCCGCTATTATCACCAACCAGGTGATCAAAAGTATGTCCAGTACTCCAAAATTATACATGAGCACCACTCATGTCAATCATACATAAACATTCATGAGCATCACTCATGAGCATCACTCATGTCAACATCAATAAGCATCACTCATGTCAACATCCATAAGCATCACTCATGTCAATCAACATAAACATTCATGAGCATCACTCATGTCCATCTAGCTTCGAAAGCTTCATTTACAGAGCTCTAGCTTCAAAAGCTTCATTTACAAAAGTTCTAGCTTCGAAAACTTTATTTATAGAGCTCTAGCTTCAAAAGCTTTGTTTATACCATATTTAGGGCCTCCGTATTTAGATCTCGTACAAATACTCGCGGGACTTAAATGTAATTATGGAATAAAGGAATGGGCAAATATGTAATAAGTGATGAGTCCTTATTCTATAAAAGGACCCCTCACCCTCACAATTAGGGAGGCCATTTCTTAAGGCTCCTTCATCCTCCCAAAGCTCTCACATTACAGAGCTCCCTCACTCCCCTCACCTCTCAGATAAATACATAATCAATGTGGACATAGCCCAAACCTTGGGGTGAACCACGATACATCTTGTGTTATTTACATTTCTTGCAAATTCACGGTTGGATTTACGTTGTTCCAAGACCTCCGGTTTTATGCATCAACATTTGGCGCCGTCTGTGGGAATCAACACGAAAAGCTATGTTGGTTCTCTTTCAATTTTTCATCTCACCATCGTGAAACCTCACCACAACCTCCTCCGTGAATCAGCTTCAAAAACTCAGATCACCATCCTAGTTTCAGAGTCTGTTAAGAGAGAAAGGAGAGGGGAATGAGAAGGAAAGGCTTTATGAGGGAGAACCCATCAATCCTTTAATCATCCTCATCTCAAATGTCCGAGGATGACGATCGATCTCCCCCTTTGGATCTTATCGA